GTGAGTGCTGGGGCGCCGGGCAGCAGCACCTGGGGAGGCTGGTGCTCGGGAGGGCATGGCACGCTGCGTGGGCTTTGCTGCTGGAAACTGTGCCATCATCATAGCATCGTAGAATAGTTTGGGTGGATGGGACCTTAAAGACCATCTAATTCCAGCCCCCCACCGTGGGCAGGGACACCTCCCACCAGACCAGGTCACTCACAGCCCCATCCAACCTGGCCTTGAACACTCCCAGGGATGGGGCAGCCACAGCTTCTCTGGGCAACCTCTGCCACTGCCTCACCACCCTCACCGGGAAGAATTTCTTTCTGATATCTCATCTAAATCTTCCCTCTTCCAGTTTAAAGCCATTGCCCCTTGTCCTGTCACTCCCTGCCCTTGTAAAAAGTCCCTCCCCAGCTTTCCTGTCGGCCCCTTTAGGTACTGGAAGGCTGCTCTAAGGTCTGCCCGGAGCCTTCTCTTCTCCAGGCTGAACAACCCCAACTCTCTCAGCCTGTCCTCACAGCAGAGGTGCTCCAGCCCTCGGGTCATCTCTGTGCCCTCCTCTGGACTCGCTCCAACAGGTCCATGTCCTCCTTGTGCTGAGGACCCCAGAGCTGAAGGCAGTACTGCAGGGGGGTCTCACCAGAGCGGAGCAGAGGGGCAGAATCTGCTGCATTTGATCATTTAATCGGTTTATGAGCTCGTGGTTAGTGATGTCTGTAGCTCTGTCACAGATCCCTCCCCTCCTGAATGAGCCTGTCCATTTGCGTTATAAACCTTAGCACCACTGGAGCACTGCCTTTCCTTTCCCCTTTCCTTTCCCAGCTCTGTTTTGTACTGCAGGAGGTTTGGGATTGTAGAAGAGCTTTGCAGGACTGTTGCAGCAGCCTGAAGAGCTTCAGACTTTTGTTTTTATTTTTGCTGTGAACGATCAATTCTCTCCACTCCAGAATACTGGTCTCTTCCTTTTCTGAAGAACAGTTGAACCGTTACGAGATGTATCGCCGGTCTGCTTTCCCCAAAGCTGCTATTAAACGGGTACGACTTCAATAATGCTTCACCACAGATGGAGTCTGAGCAGAACAAGCAGGCTGAACTGTACTAAGCCTGGCTTGCGCGACACGAGCTGGCTCTGTGGGGCTTCCTCCTCCAGCTGCGTTTTGGCCCCCGTGGCCGAGCGTTGTCCTCGGATCAGCTTATCCCATTACACTGTAGCTCAGTGCCCTCGCGTGCCTTACGCAGCTTAAATAGGAGCTCAGCTTAAATAACGGTGGTCTGGGGGGCCATGAGGCGACGGGAAAAAGGAATTGCTGGTACAGGGTCTGCGACTGAATGAGGGTAAGCTAAAACCTTGACAGCCAGCAAGTGCCCAAAGCTATAGGAGCTAATTCTAAAGATCGGTTACTGCTGTTCCCTGCATTTCATTAGCTGTTGGTTGATATTTGACAGGCTCAAACTGCTAAATATGAGTTAAAATGTTTCACCGCTGCTTTGTGTACCTCACTCGGCTGACTGTCCTTTTCCGCTTGTCCAGCTGATCCAGTCCATCACTGGCACCTCTGTCTCTCAGAACGTGGTTATCGCCATGTCCGGCATTTCCAAGGTCTTTGTCGGGGAGGTGGTGGAGGAAGGTAAGTGGCAAATGTTGAGGGGAAAAGTTAAGAATACGGGGTAAATGCATCGCTTACAGCAGAGCAGGAGGACATGGAACAAGACTGGACGTTTCGTGGTTCCCAGTCTCGCTGTCCCACGGGGCCCTGTGACCTTCCAGCAGCAGCAGAACGCCACAGTTGGGAGCTAAGCCGAGAGCGGGGTGCAGCGCGGGTTGGCCCATAGTCCCCTCTAATCCCATCGGTATTGCTGCCTGTGAGCCGGCAGAGGTTGGTGACCCCTGACCTCCTGTTTTATCCTCTCCAAGGTGGATAACTTAGAAGTTCTTGCTCTCTCAAGTCAGCCTGTGAGCCGGCTGCAGTAGGGCAGTAAGGATCCTTTGTTAGTACTGCCATGGACGGATTCAGCCCAGAGGGAAATGGGTTATTTAAGCCTCTTAACCTGTAAGGTTCTTCCTTTGTGGGATGAGCTGAGATCTTTTTGGGACACTGGGTGGGAGGCTGACCCAGCTGTGTCCCTGCCCTGCTTGGGCTGGAGGAGGAGGTGGTACAGGCTGTGACGCCAACCAGTTCGCATAGACTTGGCACACGAAACATGGCCTGTATGTGCCGGGATCACCATTACCCGCGTGATGCAGGTTTGCCGCTGCCGCCTCTGCAGCGCTGCATTGCCTGAGGTGGTTTGGATAAGCAGCTTCACTGCTGTCATTAATTGTTTTGTGACATTAATTGCTTCATGTGCTTGGCAGGCGGTGTGAATGATACTGTCAATGATAGAAAAGAAACCGACCTGTAAGTCGGCTATAGGTTGTACCTTCCTGTCACTGCTGTACACAACAACCCCAGAATACACCACCCAACCCAGGGGTGGCTTTAGAGCAGAAGGTTTAAGATCCTAAGTTCTTGTGTGACTCGAACCAGCATATTCCATAGTAGCTGAGTGGTTTAAAAGGCGGTTTGTTTATTCTGGTCTGGTGTTGATGCCTTTAGGACTGACTTTTCTTTCAGACAAAGAAGGACATAAAGCAGTTTCATTCTTGTGTATTAACCAAATGTGAGCTGTAAACCCTAAACAAAAATGTTACCCGTTGCCTTTAAAATTGAAGCTCAAACAGTTGGAGACTGGCTAAGCTTAGCTGTCCTGCTCATGGGAGCTCTCTGTTTTTTGTTGTTTAGCACTGGATGTGTGCGAGAAGTGGGGGGAGCTGCCACCTCTGCAGCCCAAACACATGCGAGAGGCGGTCAGGAGGCTCAAGTCACGAGGACAGATCCCCAATTCCAAATATAAAAAGATCATCTTCCACTGATGTGTCCCAAGAGCAGCAAGAGAAGACAGAAGTTAAAACAAGCTTCCTCGTTGTGAACGTCACACCAGTTACAGCAGAGCTACGAGCCTGAAGCTCCTTTGGGAGCGTTGGGTGTAGACTGAAGTGCCTGCAGGGAGGGTTCCTGCTGTCACTGCTGAGGTCTGGCTGCCGATCCGAGCACTACGCAGAAGCAGGCAGGAGCCGAATCCCTCACCTGGAGCCTTGGGCTCCTCTGCTTCAACACAGCAGGGATAGGAGCATTCGAGGTCTTTGATGTATTTACCCACCAGGATCATACTTCCTGCTGGTGCAGATGTAGCGGGGTTGGTTTTTTTTTTGTACATTAAACTTGTTACTGTATTCTTAGTCTTGCTGGGAAATACTAATTGTGTAATGGTGTTTGTGCGATTCAAAGTAGGGGGAGTGCAACGCAGTGATCTGTCTGAACCAACCCCGACGTGTTGACGGAGCTTCGCCTTGCCTGGGGCATGTATTGTTCCATACACGTAAGCAAGGGAGCTGAAAGCTGATGGTTCTGAAGTCATTGCTCAGCTGTTCTTCCCAAAGCCAGTTTTGTGGAGGTGTCTAAAAAACAATACGGTGAAGGAGGAGGGAAAGGGCAGGGGGGGAAATCAAACCATGAGCCTGTAAGGAGGTTAACAAGTTTAATTTGTTTTCATGGTTCATAGAACCAATAAATGCATGAATGGAAGTATACTGCAACAAAGTTCCAATACTGCCTAAAACTCAAATTCAAGTTTAGATTTGCACATTACCCACCTGTACATACAGTAGTCCCCTCTGAGCACGCTGCTTTTAAACAAATGTAGAAGATGCTGAGGCCATGTGCTCTTCCTAGGGTAATTGTGTTGTAGTTACACAAAGGATGAAGCTGGCTCTCATCATAACATAGAAGGAGTCCTTAAATAAAAGGCTCTACAAAGTAAACTTTGCTAATCGTTATCAGTGGAGATAGGGGAGTTTTTGTCCTCCCGCACATATGCCCTGTAAAAAGGATGTGGATTTTGTTTTACAGTACTTTTTACTGGTACTTAAAACCAAAAGAATGGAAGTGCTTTAGTTCTTAAACTAAACCAGTTGACTTAAGTTGCTGGAACAAGAAATTTGCTGTAAACAACTTGGCCCCAGCTCTCTTGAGTCTGCACATGTGGGAGGGAGGGGTAAGGAGTTGGGTGACGCTGCAAGTAGGCACCACCTCTGAGAAAACCCTTTGCACCCTACTCATTTCCCAAGCTGGCTGGAGACGAAGCTGGACACTTAAACAAAAAGTCATGAAAATTTGAAAGAGAAGAAAAGAAACCTCCCATATTCATTAGTGACTAAAAAGTAAGGACACCATTGCATTCCACCTAAGGCAAGCATTCTTATGTTTCTTGCTTCACACAGGGGGAGGGAGCAAGCACAGACGCACAAAGGTTTGACGCTGTTGCATGTGTGGGCTTTGCGCAGTTTGCAATGGTACTTACAGTGAGCTGTTCGCATATCGGTTTGTTTCACAGCAAGTCTAGATATGTAGATGCTTTGTTATCTCCTTTCTTGCTCATAGCAAGGGTCTTATTTACGACAGAAGATAACTTGCATTTCAGAACCCCTGCTTTTAGTTCTGAATTCCATGCGCGAGGCAGTATTGGTGAAGGAAATGCCCGCTGATGCTTAAAAAGTTAAAGTGCATTTTCCTCTTGAGAACAGGCCTGACAGGCTGCTCTAGTCCATCTCCTATCACAGGCAGCACCGCAGATCTATCCTGTCAAAGGCTGCGTTGAGCAGGGGCAGGGTCACACAACGTGCTCCAGGTTGTCTAACAGGAACGAGGAGGAGTGATCCTCTCCCGTGGAGGAGGGAAAGCAAGTGGCAGAAGTCACAGCACCCAGGCATCGGAGCTAACTCAGGCTAAGCGGGTGGCGAACGTGAAGCCTCCCGCTGCTCAGCTCCCGTGCTTTGCCGAAGGTGAGTACTCCTCCCCTTAATTCATTTGTGGCTACCAGCTTCCAGAGGTTCTAGAAGGAAGGTCAGGCTCTCGCTGCCACCGTCATTTCTGGTTGTCGGCACTGGTCAGCCAGCTCCCGGCAGAAATACGGGACTCCGGCAGTACAGCCTGCCCCAAGGCTGGCTCTTCAAACCTAGCGCATACGGACTAATTCCAACAAATGTTAGTCAAAGCCACCTTCAGTCTAATGGAGTCAAATGCAGAATTAAGATGATAATCTTAACAGTGACAGTTGTTCTAATCGCCATCCCTCTCTTAGATACACTCTTTTTTTCAAATTGAAAGCTAACAACCACAAGGAATTCACTCTTGGCTCTCCGCAAACCACAGACAGCAGTGCCTCTACCTCTAGCCTAGCGCTGTAAATACATCCCTGTTTCCCCTAGAGCTAAAGAACAACTAAAACAATCTCAGGAGTGCCTGTTAAGGGGAAGCGTTCAACAGCTCCAGAATTGGGCAAAGGGACAAGTATGTAAGAGCACAGTAGGAAAAATAAACTTAACCCCCAAGTTATTTGCTTGCTTTTGTGTAGTTTCCAGGCCTCAACTCATCACGGCTTGTAAATCAGAGGCTGCTCCCTGCATAGAGAGCAGGATTAAAATTGTGTATTACTTTAGCTAAACTAATTTCAGTGGAGTAATGCTTACATAGAAAGAAAAATCCATTAGATGAAGGTTTTGGGGAGTGTGTTCAACTAAAAAAAACATGATAAGGGTTACCTGACCTTTATAGACAAGTGAAGTTTTCATCTGATTAATGAAGGAGAATCACATATAATCTGTCACTTTTCTTAGCACTTAGTGTATGGCAATCACCACCTGTTTTACGCGCACTAAAAAGCCTGTGCATCAGAAATGCTACATTTACATGAACACAAAATGCATCTGGAAAAATCCAAATCCAAGTTTGAAATAAGATAAAATCCAACAAACTTAAACAGTGACAACACAGTAAAGATGCTGTGTGTAACAGAGGAGGGAACGGGTGTTCATCTGTAACACAGAGGGGGCTGAAAGTCACCCCCTTCTGTACCAGAAGACAGAGCAAGTTCTACTCTGGAACAGCTTCTCCCCTCACAACTGCCCCTCACGGCTGCTTCCTTCTTCAGCACATCGACCATGTATTGCCTGGAGTAGTAGAGCAAAGAAACCACGGACCGGTTTGTCTTCAGGAGTGGATTTGATTCTTGCACTTGATAAATTACATTTCCTTTTTTACTTTTTAAAATCCTGTTTACTTCATACTTTACTAGGGTTTTCTTTTTTTGCCCTCCACACTTGTAGGGGCTATTTCTTTATAAATTAAGTCAGTCACTGACCACAGAGACTTCTTCCTCTTCGGGGAAGCACCTCCAGAAAAGGCAAGACTACAAACTGTTCTCACCTACTACAGTCCCAGCAGCTACAGTTTTATCTCCACCCCACAGTGAGCAGTTAATAGTGTCAGCTTCCACCCAAGGGGGCCTGGTCAGCACCCTTCTCCCAACCCATATACCAACATCCCTGTTAAAAGACATTTAAGACCAGGCAAGAGCTCAGTGCTAATAAAAATACATGACCATGTAGGAATGCAGACAGCTATTTCCTTGCGTGGCCAGTACTGCTCTCCCTCTCTCCACTGGTGAAAGTCTGGCATATAATGGTTTGAGGACAGCATGCATCCCAAAGAAAACACATCATCTCATTCTGTGACTTAACTAACTTCTTTCACCCCTGTTCTTGGGACAGTAAAATGTAAGAAAGTTTAAACAGTGCTTTGTAATGAAATAAATTAATTCCTTTGTGTTTCTGCATCAATAAAGCCAAACATTGCAGGATTAAGTGAGAATGAACTAGAGTAAGTCTAATATTCTACCGATTCTGTCTTGACACAACAAATTACTGGTGGAAAAAGAAGTCTGAAGGAATTTCTTTACTATCCTGACCCTGTTCTTGAGGGAACAGTGAGCTGTAGCCCCCTTACTCCACAGGGGGGAAATCCCTTCTGCATTTCCCACACCCACCAACCTCCTGTAGTTCTGTTTTTCACGTGACAGTACACATACTTTCACATCAGAGCTGAGCAATGTTTTCTGCTGTATCTATTCTCTGTCACTCCTGATGCGGTGAAGTAACTACACTCCTTTTTCTGTGTTCTTTGGCATGCATGATTGGGCAAGGACACAACGAGGAAGGTTGAAAGAAGCAGAATCCCCAACACAGACCATCTCTAGACATCACCATAAAAGGTGAAGGCTGAAAGCACACTGTCGCTACCACCCATGGATGAAGAGACATGGGGTGTCCCCCCCCAACTTCTGACCTTCTGTTTGTAGGCTGACCACTGCCCTGGTTCAGTGACAGAGGCAGCACCACACTGCCAGGACAAAGGAAAGTGGCTGCAAACAGGTAACTCCTCCTCGTTCCTTCCCTGTTGCTCAGCCAGGCCTTCCTTTCTCTCTCAAGTTCATTTTGCAATCACAGTTGGTTTCCATTCTTTGAGGCGATCAGTCTCCAGGAGGTTGACCTGTTTAGCAGCAATATAATCAAACTAGCCGCCTTAGTGCTGGTGGTGGTCTCCACTCCTCCTGAGCAGCTGCAGCCTGCGCCTTCACTGTCAAAGCTGGAAGAGGGGATTGTATTTCCTAATTTCCTGCAGAAGGCGAGCCTTGTCCATGTTGGCTTCTGCAAGGGCTATTTTCATGGTCTGAAGCTCTCTTTGCAACTCTGGCACTTCCTTTAACTACAAGAGACAAACAGACGAAAAACAACCTGGGAGTTTCCAAAGGTAAACAGCAGGGCAGATCTGACTACACTGATCTGCTCAAAGAGGAAAACCAAAGCAGGAGCTTTTGAGATGAATTGCGCGAGGTGACACCACCACACAAAGCTCACTGACAACATGACCCAGTCTGAGTTGCAGAAATACTTGCCAACTGGTGCCTGCTGACTTCCATACCCGTCATTAGAGTCAGCTCAGGCTGCCAGTGATGGTTGTCTAACGACTACTTTCTCCCAAGACTTCCCTTCGTATTTCTAGGCATAGGAACAAGACTTGCAGTGGGCAAAGTTTTTTCCTGCAAAGCAGCTAGCTGATTCTGGCTGAACATA